CATTTTCTACTCACTAACTCAGAGAGCCTCGTATTCAGTTTTTCTGGATTCTACTCTTAGGATCCTAACTCTTCCCACGCAATGCATGGGAAGCTGCTTTTGTGCTCGACTTAGGGGTGTGGAGTTGATAAGGTGACAGGTTGCCTAACAGTTAGGTGCAACCAAGGTGAGCAGTGATACTTATGTCCTTTTGCGGATCTACTCCCTGATATTTAGACCCAATCTACACAGTTTAAGTATCACTTTAAATCCTTCATCTTAGAGGTATGATTCTATGCCAGTTAAATCGTACAAGTCCCTAAGCTGCGCATGGGCTAGTATTTAGTGGTCTATATAAATTGTGGTTAGACACCAATTTTTGCAGGTTGGTTGTGGCACAAAGAGCAAATTTCATGGAAATTTAATAGATGTGCTCCAGCAGCCCCACCCCCTGGTGCCGAGGCCCTGGTGGGCTGGAGGGACAAGGGGGCAGCCACCATCTTTTCTGCTGCCCTTTGTGCCACCCTGTCAACTGGTGCCTTCCACTCTGGGCAGGTTGCAAGGCTGGGCTACAGAGGCAGTGAGGACTCTGGACTCCCACTGGGGAGTAGCATTTTATTTTTATTAAGACTTTTTCACTGATTTCATGGACAATCCCGGATTTCACAGTTTCACAGTGAGATCTGCGAACCCATAATTTAAGTAGACCCCTAATAAAATTAAAAGGGTGCCTTATGCCAGCTATTACTCATTGTTGTACATTTATACTAGTAGAATTACAGTGCTCTATTGTTCTAACTATACCTATTTCTAAGCCATTTGAGTGAAGCCACTACAAAAGTGTGGGTAAAACAAGCTTATGTTGATTTAAGAGCGTTTATGCACAAAGTTGCATTAATTTACCTACATCAGTTTAAAGCTATGCCTTTAGTTAAACTGGTTCAAGTAAGTACTTAGACCAGATCTCAACAGAGGTTCACATGATAATAAATTCTGCCACTGTCAGAATCTATTGCCTTTTGTACCCAGTGACAGACAAAAAGCTGCACTGTCCCTTAGGACATCCAACTGGAAGAGACTTCTTGAACCGTCAAGTCCAGTCACCTGCATCTTGAGATGACCCCTCCAGCATGAGGAAGGCTTGTACTAACACCTGTGGCTCCCTTGTACTATTTAAGTTCAATTATTTCAATCTCCATGCCCATCAAGCAGATGTCAGAAGCATCACTTTCATCATGCTAATTTTATAGAGAATTAGTTTCAAGAACAGAACGCAACATTTTTAAAGCTGAAAAAAAATAGTAACATGCCACAGCTTTGCTTTGAGTTCTCTTTTGTAATATATTATGCATGAAAGATCATTACATAGTTTTGTGGTGACATCATAACTAGTGTGAAGTAAATAATAAGGAACAAAGCAACCAGACACAGGGGAAAAAATCCTGGCATTACTGAAATCAGTGGGAGTTTTGCCACTGTCCTGGAACAGGGCCTGGACTTCCCAGAGAAAACCTAGCCCTCTTCTCAGTTCTCCCTGAATCAACTTTAATGACTTCACCTTTGTTGATTCAGTGGTTCCTCTTGATTTACAATGCCAGGCCTGATCTTCATGCAATTTTTTATCTTAGAACAAGTATGCGTCAATTTGGGGTGTGTTTTTATATGAACAGTACGGCCCGAAGCATGAATGCAGTTGTACTGGTATGAATGTGCTCTATATCAGGGTGAAGTTACATGTTACACTTAGACCATACTAAATCTGTGGAACGTTAAGTGGTGTTAAAGTTGAATGCGCTGTGAGCAGTCGCATACTGAGGGTTAATGCTGTTCCTTGCCTGCACAGCTCTGACTTGCCACTAGAGAGTTGGTGAGCAGGGGTGTGGCTAGAAGCAATGCATTGTGGGATGTTGTAGGACTGTAAATTGCTTGTTTTATCCCCACAGAGCTGACTGAAGTTACCCTAATGAGCTAGCAACCTTGACTTACACCACTTCAGGTGAAGGTTAGCTTCAAGATGCTCAGAGAGCACTTAGCACATGTTAAAAAGCTTTAATCTGCAGATGCTCATATTTTAGGTGCCCCCGGTATGGTCTAAGTGCAACCTGTAAAGTCAACCTCAGTAAGAATGTATTAGTTTGAAACAATATGACATAAAGATTTTTTTTACTGCAATATCAGTAGCATGAACTATTTAGAAAATGGGACTGTAGAATCTCTATGTATTTCTTTCCATTGCCCAACCACATGCTGACTGGATGGGTTTACTTCTCTGGAAGGGAAGAGATGCATGCTGTAATTCCTGACATACAACATGCTTGCCCCTTCCCTCCCCCAGTCAGGCCTGCCCCCAAATTGGAGATGTATGTTTTAAGTGGGGAAGCTGTTTTCTTCACTGAAAAAGCAGCACATCAGGCAACACTGTGCATGCCATGCAACTGCTAAGATGGCCACCACTTGTCTCCAACCAGCAAATTGAAATAAATTTTGTGTCAACCACGTCATTGCTACAGCTATTGGCTGAGCAGTGTAGCTTGTGTCAAAAGCAGCAGAAGAGCTGCTAGTTGTATCGTGATGATGCCTGTTATGCTAAAACAACACTTTATTTAAAGGAACTTATATAAAGAACTACTTGCAGTAAATAAGTAACAATATCGTTCTGCCCTTTGCAAGGGTCTGGAACTTAACCTTGTGTGACAAAGTAAGTCCTCCTGGGAACAGTGTGTCCAGGATGACTTACTCCATGCAAGTCAACCATGACCCTGGACAACACTTTTCCTTCCTACATTTTGCTTTCCAAAAACAAAGCGTGAGTTTCATTTGGGGGTGTGTTATATGTGAGAACATTGGGTACCATGCTCAGTTTCATTCCTTTCTATTTAGAAGGCATATTATTGCTAAGGCTGAGATGCAGCCTTCTCTAGTTAGATTCTCCAATACTGAGGAAAGTGCAGAAATGGGAGTGGCTGCTGCAAGCCCTTCGGTAGAAGCAAAAGTGTGAAGGCAGCAATATAATTGCAGCTTTACTGTGTGATGTTATTTACCATCTTAGAAGGCATCCAGGAAAGCAACCAAAGACGGCTGCAAGACTAAGCTAAGTTGTCCTGGGTCAGGAGAGTTCTCTCTCCAAATGGTGTTCTGCAGAGCTCCCGAAAATCTCTACATTACTCTCTTGCTCCATGGCATCTCTTCATGTCCTCAAAGCCCAACACCTCATTACCATTCTGCCTAGGACAGCTGCGTAGCTTTTCAAAGCCTCTATAAAGGCCAGGATGGAGCTCTGCACTTGGCAATACTACAACAACCTGACAAGAAACGCTACAAAGATTTGGTATCTTCCCATTCAAGAAAACCCTTGGACAGGCAGAGTTAGCTGGGGTTCTATGGAGCTCCCCCGCCTTTTTTTTTTTTTTTTTTT